TGGGTTGAAACCGTATAAATAACGAGCTGCAAAGTGCGTACTGCCATCCTTCTCCTCACTCTCAAACTGTATCTGATATGTCCACGATTTTTGATAAGGCACCTGAATCGGCTACAGATACATCCGCGGAAGAATATTCACAGGACGCCACACCTGCACCTGTGCCCGCGCCCACCACCCCGCCTCGACAATCGGCTGATTTATCGTCTGCGGGGCCGAACAAACCAGAGTCGACGCCACGCAGTGCAAAGCCTTCGAGCCAGAGCACACACGCGTTTGTAGAGAAGCGAGATCGAAGGAAACGTCTCGGGGATCTAGCGAAAGAGATGGTGCCACAACTTGCTGAAGTACCGGTTGAGGAATTTATGGAGAAGCTGGTACCAGGATCTGACCCCAACGAGGATGTGCGTAAGACATTCAAGCAATTTATAGGCAACAGCTATGATGGCAAGGAGGACGGGATGTATCGGAACTTTGTAAGTGCTTGCGCCACACTCTCCCTCCCAGATGGTAACCTTCATGTAATTATGCCAGTGCGAGGTCGTCACATCATTTCTTGATTCTTGCGGGAAGGACGAGGACAGGCTGGTTGTCAAGGCGACCGCTCAGTGGCCTGACACATCTGCAGGTGACAGCAGCATGGACAAGGACACCAATAGACAGAGGCCGGATCTGATGGTCTATCCTACGACAGAGGCGGCGAAGAAGGCGTACACTCTCTCGGCGAAAGATATTAATAATAGCAGGAGGAAGGATCGAGCGCACGACGCGCGGACGTCGTGGGCGTGGTCGCTGCTTCCGATCGAGCTCAAGTCAGACGAGCACAGAGAGCGGCCATTCCAGTTCTCTGCGAAAGGATTTCATCGGTCGACAAACAGCAGTGATGCTGCCGTCGGTCTCGGCCAGTTATCGGAATACGCTTGGAACATAATGCGCTGGCAACACCGACAATTCTGTTTCATGTTGGTCGTGTGTGGTCGTTTTGCTCGAATAATCCGATGGGACAGAGCTGGAGGCCTGGTATCAAGTAGTGTCAACTTTGTCGACGACCCTACGATCCTGCAGAACTTCTTATATCGATTCGGACACATGAGCAGGGAGGAGCGGGGATATGACCCGACTGTCACGCTTGCGCGACAGGAGTACATAGACGAGATGTACAGCTGTCAGAAGGAGCTCTCTACGTACCAGCAGCAGCGTTTCGCCAAGGCATTCCCGAAGGAGACGGAGAGAGGGCAGTGGCCAATCTACGAGGTCTGCATGCGGAAGGAAGACGTCGTCACTCCTAGCACCATCAACTGCGATGAGGTGAAGAAGTCGGCGTCGCGCCTAGGAGACGATTCTGCCTCTGGAGGACCATGCGAAGGACAGGAAGACGAGAGGGCGAAGTATCTGCGGTTCCTAATTGGGAAAGCGACCTTCATCAGCAGTTCGCCGACAGGACGAGCGACGAAGGGATTCGTTGCTTTCGACATGCACCTAAGACGACTTGTATTCTTGAAGGACGTGTGGCGAGTGACTAGTGTTCCTACTGAATTGGAGGTCTACGAGAGACTGTGGAAGCATACAGTATGCAACATCCTGACGCCAATCTGCGGAGGAGATGTGGGAGGGTCACAGTCGTCTGGATCGCCATCGCCGCAGACGACAAGAACGCAGGAATTTGTGAAGAAGCAATCTGTGCGGGTGCACTTTCGATTGATTGTATATCAAGTCTGCAAGCCTCTGACGGAATATAGCCACTCGAGAGAGCTTATATGCATACTTCTTGATGCGATAGAATGTACGTATGATCACTACCGCTTGTGCTCCCGTATTGATTTAGATGCAGGCCATCAAGATGCTTGGCTGAAGGCTATGATTCTCCACCGGGATGTGAGCGTTGGGAATGTTTTGATTGACGTTGACACCAAGATCAACGATAACACTATCATACGTGGGATCTTGAGCGACTGGGACATGTGCAAGTACAAAGAAGACTTAGATAAGGGAGCTGCGCAGCGACAGCGTTCGGTGCGTCTCTTAAGCTGTTTTTGATTCCGTCTTCCAGATGGCTCTGACAAAGTATGAAGGGTACATGGCAATTCATGTCCGCTCTGCTATTGAAAGACCCCATAAAACGCCACGAGGTGTCTGACGACATCGAGTCGTTCGTGCATCTCACGAATTGGCTTATCGTTAGATTTCATCCACACAACTTGAGCGGACAGTCGCATCGCCAGCTGCTGCTTGATTACGTGACATTAACGTATGATAAACACATTTCCAAGGACGGCGCCGACGTCGGTGGAGACCAAAAGCTGATTCATATGCGAAATGGGGAGGTTGGGTTCTATCCAAAAGCTCAAGTATTGGAGGATCTCACTCAATTACTGGCCGAGATGTGCAAAGACCATTATGCCACCCTCACCTTATATACCCAGCGACTCGAAGGTAGGGAGGACTCGAAGACACCGACGCTGATCGTTGGAGAGCCAGACGGTCCCTATCGGCGTTCGCGTCCTACCACTAACCCTATGATCAATTATCCTCGCGAACCCAAAGAACAGCCGGCGGGGAAACCAACATTGTCCACCCATAAAGCAATTATAGATATCTTCACACTTATGACTCATTATGCACCTTCTGGAGACAAATGCTCTGACCAATTCAAGATGCTTTGGGTTATATCAACGTCTGGAGGACAGAAGCGTAGCCTGGAGAGCTCGGAACCACTGACATCGCACCAGGCGAAGAAGGCTAAGGGAGATTCGCGAGAGGAGTCGTCTGGAGTGCGTGGAAGTAGTACCTCTCGCACGGGTTCGTTACCTGTGGTTGACGAGGGTGCGGAAGAGGCTGGCTGAGTAGGCTGATGTCGTACCATATGTAGTGCACGTAGATGAGAGCCCAAGGGCATACGACGGTCATAAATGATATATGGAATCATATCATTAAGACACTCGAAACTAAGTCGCGTCAGACTCGCCCAGCTTCAAATGCTTCCCAAATGGCCAATAATGACATCTTCAGTCCTCTGACGCGCCGAGTGTGTGTCGCCCAGAGCGTCCCCGTCATGATGCATGAACAGTCCAGACGAACAGGGACGAACGTACACTACAAATAAATCATCCTCTGGGCGGAAGCGCCCATCATACAGGCTCCGAAACGTTTCCCGTGGTACATGAGAGCGCAGAGCGTGAACTTGACGTAGCCTCCCAGCTGTACACCTGGCGCCCGCAGTG